CGTACAAAAGCGCTGATGATCACAAGGCGGAAGTGCCTTGGTAAAGATATCAGCAGTGTTGGCCTCAGAGGCCACGTAAGCAAGGCGCAGCTGACCGCGCTGCTACAGCTCACGAGCAAGGAAGTAGCGAAGAGCAATGTGCTTTGTTCTGTGCTCCAGTCTGTGCTCCCGACACGAGGCCAGCATGGCCTTGTTGTCTACGTACAGAACTGGAGGAGAACGAGGCGGCTCTCCTAGGTCAGTCAGCATGTAGGTGAGCCAGCGTAGCTCCTGTGCAGCCATGGCCCCCGCGTAGATCTCAGCCTCACAGCTGGAGCTGAGAACAGAAAACGAGCGGGTAGACCGCCACGAAACAGAGCCAGAGCCAAGGCTGAAGGTGTAACCCTGTGACGACCGATGCGTAGCCTGGTCATCAGCCCAAGAAGCGTCTGCGTGACCTGTGAGGACCACTGGACGTCGCCCTCCAAGCACTAGCCCCATGCCCGACGTACTGCACAAGTAGCGCAACACCCTCTTCGCTGCAGCCATGTGCTCTGGTCGGTGTCTCCCAGGAGCAACATAGCATGCCAAGATGCTAAGAGGGTATGCTAGGTGAGGTCGTGTGCAGGTCATCAGGTACATGAGGCAGCCAACAAGCTCTGGGTACGGGCCACTCGGCTCTACGGACTCATCCGAAGACAGAGCTAAGAGCGAGTGGCGAGTAGACAGAGGAGTGGCCTAAGGCGAGGAGTACGTGAAGTCGAAGCGGTGAAGGACCTGCTGCACCATGGGTGACTGAGTCAGCGTAATGGTGTGCTGTGCTCTGTCCCGGGTGATCTGCAAGCCAAGGTAGCTGCGCATTTCACCCAGGTCTGTGCACGTGTGTCTCTTCTGCAGCTCCGACTTCACGTGGGCGAGTCCAGCAAAGACCAAGTCGTCGATGTACACGAGGATGTAGAACGGCGGCAAAGAGGTGTCGGTGCGCATAAACAGCGACGGGTCGGCAGTAGAAGGAGCAAACCCAAGAGCCGCAAGTGTAGTCCACAGTGTGTCGTGTCACTCACGGGGTGCCTGGCGGAGACCGTAGACTGGCCGCCGGAGGCTCCACTGGGTACCAGGAGGAAACGACCCAGTGAAGCCAGGTGGGCGGCGCAGCCAGATCTCCTCGTGCAGGCTGCCCTGGAAGAAAGCAGTGCTGAAGTCAAGAGAGTGAAGCTCCTAGTCGCGCTGAGCGGCTATGTGCAGCAGCACCCGAAGAGTGGTCATCTTTGGGGTGGGGGAGAAGGTCTGAAAGTAGTCAACTCCCTGCCGCTGACTGAAGCCTCGAGCCACGTAACACGCCTTGAAGACAGGCGGAGAACCCGGCGGCCGCTTCACCCTGAAAATCCACATGCCACTGACGATGTTCGCCCCAGGTGGGGGAACCTCGTCGACGTAGGTGCCTGTGGACTTCCAGGAAGCCATCTCTGCGTCCATGGCTGACTGCCACTGTGAGGAGTAGGGACCCTCGATCGCTTCAACGAACGATCGAGGAGTCGGGATGTCTGGTGCATCCGGGTCTCCCTCAGAGGCAATCAGCGTGGACTCGAGATGAGGCAAAGCAGCAGCAAAATACTGGAACTCCTCCTGCCTGTCCTCAAGGACGTCCGTTCTAAGAGCACACTCACCCCCGACGGACGTAGGACAGACAGACTCACCCTCTCTGCTTCCAACACTGCTGATATCTCGGCGCTTCGAAATACAACGACACCATCGCCAAACGCTTCGGATTTACTCCGACCGCCATCTATACGCCATACCGCTACACTACCGGGAATCACAAGGAAAGCTCCGTCCTACTCAAACCCGCCGGCATACGCGACTACCAGCGAAAACTGGGATGTCTACTCTTCGCAGCCGTTACCTGCTGACCGGATCTCTCCTACTCCGCAATTCAACTCGCCACCTACCTTAAGAGACCTGAAGCAGAGCACATGGCGGAGCTCGACCGCGCACTGCACTATCTCGTTAGTACCCCGACGATCGGATTAACCTACTATAAGACGGGAACTACGGCGCCCAAGCTAATCGGCTACGTCGACGCTGATCACGCTGCTGATCCTGAAAACAAGCGCTCACGCACCGGCTATATCTATCGACTCGAACCTATCGGGCCCATCTCCTGGCAGTCGAGCAAGTAGGAACTAATCGCCCTCTCCTCAGCTGAAGCAGAATATATTGCACTCTGCTCAGCCACCAAGGAAGGACTCTACCTTCGCGAACTACTGGAAGAAGCAAAATTGGCTGAGTTACCCAATTTCTCTCTGTTCTGCGACAACCAATCTGCAATTCGCATCGGCAACAAAAACGGATTCGCGAACAGGACGAAGCATATCGCCTTGCAATACTTCTTCGTGAAAGACGGGATCGAGAAGGGGAGACTCGAGCTGTCCTAATGTCCCACGTTTGAGATGGCAGCTGATTATTTGACCAAGAAACACGGAAAGCAGAAATTCAAGTACTGCATGCTGCTGACTGGACAAGGCCACGTCACCAGCAACGACACTCCAGAAGCGAAGGGGAGTGTTGGGAACAAGTAATTTAGCGCCTCTGCCGTGTCGAAACACTAAGCTGCAAATGAAGCAAGGTGCAGTGAAGTTTCGGCGATTCAACCCTCGGAAGTTGAACAACAGCTGGAGGTTACGCGAAAGTCAAAGGTCAGCGACCTTTGACCCGACAAATACAGCGCGACAGCAAGGACACACAACTGACTCGCTATTGAGCAGTTGCCCGAGTCGTCACTGTATCGAACCGCAATAGCAGCAGTAAAACGATTATTAACCGTATCTCTTCGTATTCCTTGTACTCTTACATAAAACCTTGTACTTCTCTGTTTTAATCAATCTACTTTGCCCTCACATACCAGCGCAAGGTGGTTCATAAAGTCTTCATTAAACGCTTCCGCTATTACATCGTTCCTACGTTGAACTTAGTCTTGTAAAGATCCTTAAGGGCTTTTCTCAGCCCAATAGTTCTCATGTGCAATCCTCGCGTAATAGCCAAATGACTTGAATCCACCTTCCGACGCGGTCCGTAGCTCAGCCAGAGACTGGGGTCCAAATTTGGATTTGAACACAAAGCCGTAGCGCTCGCGGCGGCCAGATTTGCCACTTGTGATGTTGGTCCACTTTATAGGCAAGGCAAGGGAATCTCTAGAGCAAGACGATCCGCTGCCTCCAATCGGCGCTTTTCCTCCCGATTTGATGTTGAAGACGGAGAAAACAGTAACGGAATAGTAAGCTGTTTTGGAGTGCCTGCAAGCAAGGCACGGACAGAAACGTCGTCTGAGTTGACACAACCGCAAGACGGAGAGAAAAGTTATCGGAATAATATTTTGTTGCTGAGTACATGTTTCTAGTTGCAAGATGAAAATCACACAGGGATGCACTTTACTATCTTTGTGACAGACTTTCCCGATGCGAGTCTGTTTTTTGAGAATTGTAAAAAAAACGAATTCTAAAAAAAGAGATTCAGCAGATGAAAATCAAACAGGGACGCACTTCACTATCTTTGTGAAAGACTTTCCCGATGCGCCTTTTTCGCCGACCACCTTCCCATCGAGTGTAGTGGGACAGTGTTTTGTCACGTACTTCCCTGGCAACGGAGTTGGCAGGGATGGGGGCGCATGGGAAAGGAAGGACGTTGAAGGACAAGAGCAGATGAGACATGTGCCCCCATGCGGTCATGAGGTATTACTAGCATCACCGCATGAGGTGGCCTGGAGGATCCAGTAATGACAGAGCCGCACGAATCCTATTAGCTGACAGTTTTACATGACACTCGGGTGGTATGGCGATATGAGGAAAACAAATGCAACACAGGATCAGAAATTTAGGCATGAAACCATCTGCTAAGCTTCAAAGGAGGAGGTGCCCACAACTCGGTGCAACTCGGTGCAACACGGTGCTTCACGGTGCAGTGCGGTGCAGCGCGGTGCAACTCGGTGAAGCTTGGTGCAAGCGCTCGCTACCTTCTGCTGCTGCTGGTAGTACTGGTAGCAGTAGGAGAGGTGGCAGTACCGCCGGTGCACTAGCAGTGAACAAGAGGCAAGAGTGCTGCGGACATGACACTTACAGACTGTTTTCCCTCTCTGCGCCAAGGGCTTGGCCTGAGCGGCGGCAGACGTAGGGGTTGAAACACCGCCGTGTGCTAGAAACGGCGAGAAGGGTGAGGCAGATGCTACGGCGACAGTGAAGAACGCCGCACCTGACGGGGAAAGCAGCGCACGAGAGTGCATGATCAGGGGCGCAAGAGGGAGAGGGGTGGCGCAGGAGGGTTCTCCATGAGGGGCGCAGGAGGGAGCATGAAGAGGGGCGACCGGACACGACGAAACCTGCAAATAATCATGGCTAAGGCGTGTCAGGCCTGGATGAATTCTAACGTGGCAGTGGCGCGCTCTGTGCCACACCAAGGGATAGGAGAGCAAAGGCACTCGGATGTGAGAAAGGTATTTGAGGCGCTTGAAAAATTGCCTCACAAAAATTGAGGCGCATTGAAGAAACAAGTGAAAAAACGTGGCTGGTTTTGCGACGTGTTCGAAACCGTCCTTCTTTCACGTCGCTGGCGGAGGAGTAGGAGCAAAGACACTCGATCGGTGAGTCATTTTCACGGGTAGGAGCAAAAGCAGGAAAAGGGCTTACAGAGCAGAAAGGAGACGAGTCTAGTATTGAGGCACCTAATTAATCACAAAGGCACTCGATCGATGAGTCTCTGTTTCCACGGGTAGGAGCAAAAGCAGGAAAAGGGCTTACAGAGCAGGAAAAAAATGAGGAATTATGAGTCGACCCAAAGGGAGAGCGAAGACACTCGATCGATAAATCGTCTCGTTTTCACAGGTAGGAGCAAAAGCAGCAAAAGGGCTTACAGAGCAGGAAGAAGTTGCGCGCTCCATGCCGGGTGCAGACCACGTCTTAAGAAGCAGAAGCAGAGCAGTGCAGACGAGGTACTTCTCTCCTGCACCAGAGCAGGGACGAGGTCTTAAAATGAAGGCGAAGGTGGAAGTTTTGAGAACTCCGTTAGAGGATGGGCGAACGTGGCAATCTGAAATGAGAATCCGGTGCTCGTGACAGGCAATATGATACCGCTGCTCCGTCCGTCCAGCCCGAGAGGTTGGGATCAGCCTGACGGTTGATGATGGGAGGTGTGAGCGCTACTAACATCATCACTCATGGACGTGCGCGCCTCGGAGTTGCCAGCTTCGGTACTAGTTTGGGACCGCCCTTGAACTAAGTTTGGGGTAGCGCCGCCGCTGCTGCTACGCGACGAGAGCAGAAATGGAAGGGGGTGCCAGAGCTGACGAGGAAGGGGCGCCATTCCGCGGTGGCGCCCCTTAGTAAAAAATCATCAGCCAAGGATTCCCCTCCCCTCCCTCTCCGCTCTGAGGCCAGGCCACGCCAGAGCATCGATTCGAAACGAGGCGAGGGCCTGGACGGCGCGACCTGCGGCATGTGAGGCACAACGGGTGCCTCTCTTTGGCGTGCGCGGTGAGGCACAAGGGGCGCCTCTCTTCGGCGTGCGCGGCGAGGCACAAGGGGCGCCTCTCTTCGGCGTGCGCGGCGAGGCACAAGGGGCGCCTCTCTTCGGCGTGCGCGGCGAGGCACAAGGGGCGCCTCTCTTCGGCGTGCGCGGCGAGGCACAAGGGGCGCCTCTCTTCGGCGTGCGCGGCGAGGCACAAGGGGCGCCTCTCTTCGGCGTGCGCGGCGAGGCACAAGGGGCGCCTCTCTTCGGCGTGCGCGGCGAGGCACAAGGGGCGCCTCTCTTCGGCGTGCGCGGCGAGGCACAAGGGGCGCCTCTCTTCGGCGTGCGCGGCGAGGCACAAGGGGCGCCTCTCTTCGGCGTGCGCGGCACAAGTTTGTAAACCACTTTCCACCTTGTCAAACCGCCCTGAGCCACGATACGAACTGTTCTCTCACGCGGCAGGGACTGCGTTCGCAGCGAGGGGTTGACATTTGCAGGATTCACGAAATATGGTTAGTAACTTAGGAATTGTGTACGGTTTGCCCTGATATTTTATGTGACATTGCGCCCTAATACATGTGATGTGCCCTGATGCATGTGATGTGCGCTGATACATGTGCTGTGCTGTGCTGTGCCCTGTTACATGAGCTGAGCCTTGATACATGTGCTGTGTTGTGCCTTGTGACATGAGCTGAGCTGAGCCTTGATACATGTGATGTGCCCTTATACATGTGCTGTGCCCTTGTATATGTGCTGTGCCCTTATACATGCGCTGTGCTGTGCCCTGTGACATGAGCTGAGCCTTGATACATGTTCTGTGCCCTGATACATGTGCTGTGCCCTTATACATGTGCTGTGCTGTGCCCTGTGACATGAGCTAAGCCTTGATACATGTTCTGTGCCCTGATACATGTGTTGTGCCCTTATACATGTGCTGTGCCCTCGTACATGTGTTGTGCCCTTATACATGTGCTGTGCTGTGCCCTGTGACATGAGCTGAGCTGAGCCTTGATACATGTTCTGTGCCCTGATACATGTGCTGTGCCCTTATACATGTGATGTGCCCTTGTATATGTGTTGTGCCCTTATACATGTGCTGTGCTGTGCCCTGTGATATGAGCTGAGCCTTGATACATGTTCTGTGCCCTGATACATGTGCTGTGTCCTTGTATATGTGCTGTGCCCTTGTATATGTGCAATGTTGTGCCCTGTGACATGAGCTGAGCCTTGATACATGTCCTGTGTTAAAGTTTAGAAGAGAGAAGAGGACTGCACTAGCAAGAATGGGGATACAAATAGGAAACCCTAGAAGGGTTGTACTCGCTATAGAGCACCCCACTACAGGCTAGAGCATAAGATAACATTCTGACACACCCCCATAGCCAAAGTGGGGTGTAATCAGCAGAGCAAGCAAAGCAGTACAAGCTCAGGGTGGATCACAATGTCACCACACATTCTGAGAACAAGTTCAAGAAGCAATAGTTTAAAGTTCACAATTATGAGCAAAGCTAGTGGTAGTCACAACGGGCAAGTGAGGAGGAGGAGAGAGAGTGAGAGGAGAGGAGATAGGAGGCGACGGATGAAGTTGCAGACACACGGGCAACAGGAGGCACACTGGCACAGCGGCTACCGGAACAACGCTCCGGAATATTGGAGTAACTGGCCCCGCGGCTGAATAGCGGCAGACGAGCAACGGACCCACGGGCGGCTGGCACAGCTGGCTACGACTGGGCTACCGGACGAAGTCCCCGGAATACAGGTGCCGCTGGCGACACGACGGCAACCTCCATTCAGCTTCCCCAAACTATCCCACTCCCCCTGGCACACACCCACTGCTACACCGCTAGCTCTACTCCCACGCACCCCCCTTAAACCCTAAACCCCAGTCTCCCACTCATTCACCCCCCTCAGCGTCAGCTGCAGCAGTGGGAGACGAAGGAGGAGGAGGAGCAAAGGGAGGAATGCACAGCTGCCACCCCCATACTCGCCACCCCCCAAACCCTAACACTGGCAGGGCGGGATGGCGGGTAGAGAGGTTACGGGGGAGGGAGGGGGGGGGGACCGACGCGCGGCCTCCCAGGGCGCCAAAACAGGCGGCAGAAGGGGCGGCGCTCGCCCCCCTCCCCTAGGTAGTCCCTCCCGTCGCCCGTCGAGGCGACCCTCGGGGGCCGCAGGGGGGGGCCAGTGCACGTGCCCTCGGTGCTCCGCGACGGGCGACGCAGCATGGCCGGGGCGCGGCTGGTCCTGGCGCAGCCCGTACGGGCCGCGCGCTGCCTGTGAGGGCGGCGCGCAGGCCACGACGGGCGACGGGGGGCGACGCGCGGGTCCCCGTCGCCCGTCGCGATGCCTCTCGAGGGCGACACGCCGAGGGACGGGGCAGAAGCCCGCCGCGCGCCTCGGGGCGCACAGCGGGCAGAGAACCGCCGCGCGCCTCGGGGCGCACAGCGGGCAGAGAACCGCCGCGCGCCTCGGGGCGCACGGCGGGAAGAAAAAAATGCCGCACACCACGGGGCGTGCGGCACAGAGAGTAGTACTCGTAGTTGCAGCGGAAGCAACGAGGTGGTGAGCCCACCCACAGGATCGAACCAAGGGGATCGACCTGCTCTGATAGCATGTTAAAGTTTAGAAGAGAGAAGAGGACTGCACTAGCAAGAATGGGGATACAAATAGGAAACCCTAGAAGGGTTGTACTCACTATAGAGCACCCCACTACAGGCTAGAGCATAAGATAACATTCTGACATTCTGTGCCCTGATACATGTGCCATCCATCCAGCATGAGCACTTGCACCTAGTCTCAAAGTGAGCCAGCCCAAAAACACCAAAAGAAAGAAATACAGACAGACAAAAGAGGGAAAAGAGGCCAGCCAACTACTAACCCTTGACTTTCTTGGCCTTCCCGCAGAGAGCATTGGCGTGGTGAGACAAAAGAGGGAAGGAAAGCCAGCCAACTACTATCCCTTCACTTTCTTGGACTGCCCACAGAGCGCATTCACGTAGTTCGTGTGCCCAGCCTGCGTGTAGTCTCCCAACGCCTTGAATCCATCAACTACTTCACCTTCACTTTCTTGGACTTCCCACAGAGTGCATTCTCGTTGTTTGTGTGCCCAACCTGCGTGTAGTCCCCCAAAGCCTTGAACGCGCCTTCAGACTGTTCACGTAGCTTAGCTAGCGACTTGGGTCCGTCAGTATATGTAAACACGAAGCTGTAACGCTTGCGGCGGCCTGTTTTGTCACTAGTGATGTTGGTCCACTGTGCAGTGATGTCTTGGGATAATCGAGTGTAGGATGTGGCGACGCGTATGGTCAACTCTTTTCCTCCCGATTTGATGTTTAAGACGGAAATAATGCTTTCGGCATAGTATGTTGTTGCTGAGAACCTGTAAGCAAGGGGGGGGAGGGGGGAGCGGGGGACGGAACAGGGGGAAGATGTTTAAGAAAAAAATATGAGGGTCCTAGCTAGGCGGGGACCTCGGATGGCAACTTGAGTGCTGTTCTGAGCCCCAGGGGCCCCAGACTTTAAGCCACTGACCATGTCGGAAGGCGACGCAGGTCAGCTGGTCCGAGCCTCTTTTAATTGAAATGTTGGACTTGTATTCGTCGTTGCGTAGAATCAGTAAGGAATAGGAGATTCCTTACAGTACCCCACCCCTCCTCCCCTCCCCCCGCTCCCCCTCTCCTCCACCCATATAATATGGTCAACATCAGGTACGCGTCGGCGGGAGAGAAAATCGTGTAGTATCGAGTGCCCCTGAAGTGAGTCAGGCAGGTGTGGCCCATGTGTGATCCTCAGTCCGATCAAGCCACCGAGGTAACAAGTCGACGTGGCGTTTGGTCGTCATCAGTCGTACGCGAGGGAAATAGAGGGAAGATATAAGAGGGAAGGGAGGCCAGCCAACTACTACTATCCCTTCACTTTCTTGGCCTTCCCACAGTTTTGAGGCGCCTCATAACTAGTCGACGTGCCGTGCGATCGTGAATCGTGATCAGTCGCACGCGACGATAGAAAGACAAAAGAGGGAAGGGAGGCCAGCCAACTGCTACCCCTTCACTTTCTTGGCCTTCCCACAGAGTGCACGCGCGTAGTTCTCGTGCGCAACCCTCGTGTAATAGCCAAACGTATTGAATCCACTCTCAATCAATGCACAAAGCTGAGCTAAAGGCCCAGGTCCCAAAATCAATGTGGACAGGAAACTGTAGCACCTGAGGCGGCCTGTTTCGTCACTTGTGATGTTGGTCCACTTTGTAGGACCGGCTAGTAAGGCTGCTCCACTACAGGCCTTTCCTTGTGAAAGAACAAGGAATGAATGAACTAGCAAGCAGGTGGGTACAAGTAGGAAAACCTAAACGTGTCGTACCCCATATTATCTACCCCACTACAGCCTACACAGACTATAGCATATGAGTTTGACACACCCCCATAAGCAAAGTGGGGGAGAACAAGAGGACACAAGACCAGTCAAGCAAAGCAAAGCAAGCTCAGGGTCCTGCCCCGTCAGGTGTGTCCCAGGTAGACGCAGTTGAGCCTGTCGAGGTAGCTGTTGACTCTGGTGCTGCTAGGGGCGCTGAGCCTGCGGGTGCCGGGTCTGGGGGTGCTGAGCCTGGGGGTGCGGAGCCTGGGGGTGCTTAGTCTAGGGGTGCTGAGCCAGGGGGTGCTGAGTCTGGGGGTGCTGAGTCTAGGGGTGCTGAGCCTGGGGGTGCTGAGTCTGGGGGTGTTGAGCCTGGGGGTGCGGAGCCTGGGGGTGCTGAGCCTGGGGGTTTGGACCCTGGGGGTGCGGAGCCTGGGGGTGCTGGGTCTGCTCGTGTGGCCTCTGGCGGTGCTTCGTAGAGGCGGGAGCTACTCTCTCCGCAGGAGCTGCGCGAGTAGTTTGCCCGGCGCTGGAGCCGTGCTGCTGGAGCTGGAGGTACTACTGTTGCTGCTGGTCCTGGAGGTGCTCGTCCTGGCGGTTCTGGAGCTGCTGGGACTGGGAGTCCTGCTGGAGGTACTGCTGGAGCTGCTGGCGGTACTGGAGCTGACGGTCCTGCAGGAGTTGGTGCTACTAGAGCTGCTGGAGCTGCTGGAGCTGGAGCTGCTGGGGGTGTTGGCGCTGGTGGTTCTGCTGGCGCAGGTGCTTCTGAGGGTGCTGGAGTTGGCGCTGTTGGAGCTGGAGGTGCTGCTGGCGTTGGTGCTGCCGCTGGGGGTACTGGTGCTGTCCCTGCTGGTTTTTGGAGGCGCTGCGCGGCCGAGGCCGTACTTCGTTCCGCTCCTTGAGCAGGTTCTAGGTCTCCCGCCCTCTAGTGGTCCTGCTCCTCCCTTAGAGTGTCCACAGCCTGTCCAGTCGCGGTCACAGTTACAGCCCGCCTCCCCCCTACTTGCTCCTTCTCCCTACACTGGTCCTACTGGAGGTCTTGCTGAGCGTCG